TGTTATTCCTGTCAATCAATAATTGGCCAATCAGCGGGCGTGATACTATTCAAACGCTTACTGATTGGTCTATTTTGATTGACAGGTGTTATTCCTGTCAATCAATAATTGGCCAATCAGCGGGCGTGATACTATTCAAACGCTTACTGATTGGTCTATTTTGATTGACAGGTGTTATTCCTGTCAATCAATAATTGGCCAATCAGCGGGCGTGATACTATTCAAACGCTTACTGATTGGTCTATTTTGATTGACAGGTGTTATTCCTGTCAATCAATAATTGGCCAATCAGCGGGCGTGATACTATTCAAACGCTTACTGATTGGTCTATTTTGATTGACAGGTGTTATTCCTGTCAATCAATAATTGGCCAATCAGCGGGCGTGATACTATTCAAACGCTTACTGATTGGTCTATTTTGATTGACAGGTGTTATTCCTGTCAATCAATAATTGGCCAATCAGCGGGCGTGATACTATTCAAACGCTTACTGATTGGTCTATTTTGATTGACAGGTGTTATTCCTGTCAATCAATAATTGGCCAATCAGCGGGCGTGATACTATTCAAACGCTTACTGATTGGTCTATTTTGATTGACAGGTGTTATTCCTGTCAATCAATAATTGGCCAATCAGCGGGCGTGATACTATTCAAACGCTTACTGATTGGTCTATTTTGATTGACAGGTGTTATTCCTGTCAATCAATAATTGGCCAATCAGCGGGCGTGATACTATTCAAACGCTTACTGATTGGTCTATTTTGATTGGCAGATGTTATTCCTGTCAATCAAAAATTTGCCAATCAGCGAGCGTCATACTATTGAAACGCTTACCGATTTGCTTATTTTGACTCAGCCCTTAATATAAGAGCTATTCTTATTTGCAAGATTTCAAGTCTCAAATATGCATCGTTGTTCAACAAAATTTCACCTTTCGTCTTGTCTTTCTCCGCCTTTTTACAAAAACCACAAGTCTTCATGCAGTTCTTCTGCATAAAACTAAAAAACGATTGCGATTTGGCGCAGTATCCTGCCCTTTTCCAGTTAACACAATCTTTCTCAATGTCCTTGCAAGGCTTGACTTCCTCAGCTGTGAAAAGAATTCGGCAAACTAGATAGATACTTTGCTAATAAAAAAATCACGCAAAATAGATTATTTATTTTCATTTATTATTTATTTATTATCATAGACGTTATGATTTAGAAATGAAGGTGGCGTTGGTGTAGTATTCAGGCATCGTGCACCATTCCAAAGTGGGAGGGGGGAACTAAAAAAGGGCGTAAATGGAATTTGTTGAAGCCTTTAGAACGCCAGAAAGCGGCCTTTTTAGAAAATACATGCTTCTTTTTACTTATTGAGGCCTCTAAGACACCGGAAAGCGCCCTTGATAGAAAATGCTTCTTTCCATTTATTGTTTATAAACAGTCCAACTCAGAGAAGATATCAATTACTAAAAAAATACATTTAACAAACTAAGACACTAAATAGTGAACAAAAAATGGCTTCCAGTCAGGAAGAACTGCTATTTCTTAGGATCCGTTAGAGTAAACTTTCCTTAATTTCCAAGAGTTTTCTAACCTATTATTGCAAAAGATGTAACAAAGACGAAAGTCCGCTACTTCAGAGTAACTCATGACATGAAGACAACGACACGTGATATGAGTAAATAATTGACTGAATTGGAGGTTAGTGGTTAAAGTTTATATACAATCGTGATCAAGGCTTTAATTACACAATCACGCGAGGGTAGTCTTACAACAAAAAGTGAGGTGGGGAGGGGGGGAGGGTGAGGGCTGCGCGGTGCCTGATTGTATTCGGCAATCATCATCATCAGGTACCATCTTCTATCAGAAGGTTGGCTACCATGACCCTCCAACTATCCCAAAATCTGAGTTTTGGTTTGTTTTCATGGTCATAGATAAAACTTAGGAGTTAAAAGAAGAGATAGGCCCTCAGAACTACCTCTACATGGTTTTTAAAGGGACACCAACCCTCTTTCCAGGAGTTCTTCCGCCCGAAGCCGTTGACCCCTGGAGTCGTAGCTCATCTGCCCTCCTTGCCGGTCTCCCGCCGTGTTAGCCGTTGGCCATCGCTCGTAGCCCTGAGCTAGGGAACCCTGCCAGGTGGTACCAGTCGGGTCAGGCTGGACCATTTGGCAATAGTGATGATTATGATTAGTGATGAAGATATTGACTATGATGATTATGATGACTTTTCTTATTGCTATTATTATTGATAGTTGTGATGAAGTTTGATACTAATCATGATCATGATTTATGATGTGTTACCATTGCAAAAACTGATCATTGCAAAAACTGATCATTGCAAAAACTGATCATTGCAAAAACTGATCATTGCAAATACCTTTGGATGCACATATCTTGCAGGTATCTTGGCAGTTGTCTTTCATGAATGAGTACCACTGGCTCGATTTGGAACAAAACCCTTGCTTGGCCCAGTCTTCGCAGTCAGTATCTTTATCCTTGCACTTCTCTGGAACATATCAAAAATTTTGATTATTATTTTAAACACCGTAACTCGAAAGAACACTACCCAATACCATACAAAAATGCAGGCCAGTTGAGTCGGTTCAAAATTGATGGTATGGTCGGTGAAAGACGTGCCAATTCATTGCTGTTGCATTGGCCAGGTTTCTAATTTTTGGTACCTTGACCAAATTACAGTTACACTCTGTTCTTTTGATAACAGCAATTTTATAAGAAGCCTCAAACTTGGTCAAAAGCTAAGAACAAATTGAAAAAAAAGCTGAGGCTGATCTACTGTAAAATGCAATTTTGAACAACGTATACGAGAATTTTTAGACATGTGAGGGAGAATTTTTAGCAATTGCACCGCTCACACCCTATTAATTTAAGAACAAATCAAGAACAATCCAGCTTCAGATTCTTTGAAAAAAAATTAAAAACAGTTAGCCTGAACTTGACTTTACTGGTTCTTATGAAAAAGGAGTGTAAAGAAATAGCCTATGGTGATTTTGCAGTCGACTTGCAACAGATTCAACTTATTTTGAAAATTCAAAGATATTTCCTGGTGCTCTTTCAGGTTTTGGGACAGAATTCTGGAATTCTACGCAAAAAACTGTTTAAGAACAAAATTTTGACTATCAAAAGTAAATTTTGACCCCTTTCCTATTCGAAAGCATCAATGTTCTGTTTATATAGACGTAAGCAAGTTTCGCGATTTTTGGTTTAAAAACATGGGGTACTCACCCTCACATTTATCACAACTCTTTCGACAATTGCTCAGCATGTAACCAGGGTTTGAACTGCATTCACCTGATTTAGCCCAACCACTGCATCTTTGATCATTGTCAACACAAGCAGTATTTAGGCCTAGGAGATAAATAGAAAGTTGAGATGCACATATTTTTATATAGCTTTATCGGTTACTAACTGTTGTGTATGCGCGCGCGATGCCTAAGATCCGCTGCGACCTAACGCTAGACCTAGAGAGCACACGAGACAAGACGCCATGTTTTCACTCCGACCCTGATCTAATCTCCTCTATCAACTCCAATCCGAGGCTAATATAAAATGGTTTATGCCTAATACATTACATTCTCCCTTTTCTTGAAATTGTCCTCTAGGGTTTCTATATGAGTTTTGTAAACGTAACCAAACAAACAATTAATATAAACAATGTTCTTCAGCTTTAGTCCTTCAGCGTAGATGATTGTTCTTCAGTGTCAGCAAAAGTATATGTGATATTCATCCATCAACAAAACAAATATATAATCTTCAAAGTTCCAGCTTCTTGATTAGAATGAACATAAATAGTAGAACTCCAATGTGTTGCTCAATCAACTCGTGCAAAGTCAATCGATATAAATATATACAACCTCCTGTCTGTCCTTTTTATTCAGTTTTTCTTCTTACGACTCCTTCTTATTGGAAATTTCTTCACTTGTACTTGTTCTTGAATGGCTGTTGGAACAGAATCTGGTACAAAAACTGGTGTTCTGTTGCCAATATCTTCTTGTATGTCTTCATTGCTTTGTTCATTCCAATGATCCTCAACAATTCCTTCCTTAAACCTATTTTCACTATTTTGATGCATGTCAGCATTATCACTTTCATGCAAACTAGAATTATTGTTTTCATTTAAGTGTGGAGTGTTATTGGCGTCATTAGCATTAGTGATTGCTCTATTCGGTCTGCGCTCGGAACGCGTTGGCCTTGCGACATTTTGCGCATTGTCAATTAAGAGTTCCTCTGCTAAGATGTCTTCCTCTTCATCTGTGTTGTGTGTGTTCTTCTTTTGAGTTACTGCTTGTCTGTTTGATTCACTCTCATTGTATTTCTTGAGATGAGCTTTGTTCCTGTAAAATTTGTTTCCTCTTTCATTCTCTAGTAAAGCACTTTTCCTGTAGATCTTGATGACTTTGAATTTCTCATTTAACCAATTTGGAGATAATTTGTCATTTTTCCAGAGATTCTTTACTAGCACTGTGTCTTGTTCCTGAATTTCACTGTCTTTTGCATTCCTTTTGATGTATGTGTAATTCTTCATTTTCCCTTTCTTTTCTCTGTCTTTCCTATCTAATTCTGTGTCTTGTGATTCATCCTTTGCATATTCTGGTATGTCATTCTTGATACCACGTCCAAAAAATACTGTAGCTGGGCACTGTCCTGTTGTTGCATGTGGGGTTGTTCTGTAGAGAAGTAGAAACTTGTTCAGCTCTTCTCTCCAATCTTTTCCTTCTGCGTGTGCACATTGATTTGCCTTTTTGAGTGATCTGTTGAATCTTTCAACTTCACCGTTGACCCATGGTGAATACGGTGTCACATTCCTTAGCTTTATCCCATGTTGTTTGAGGTACTGTTTGAATTCGTCTTAAATGAACTGTTTTCCATTGTCAGCAACTAATTTGTGCACGTAACCAAACATAGAAAATATCTTATCCAATGCTTTGATTACCGTCTTTGTGTTGATAGTTTTGACTTGTGCAACTACTGGATATCTTGATCTGTAGTCTATGAGTGCTATTAAGTAATCCTTTGTTGGATATGGTCCTTGAATGTCCAAAGCTACTGTGTGCCAATTTGTTGAGGGTATCTTTGTTACCTCAAGTGGTTCAAAATTTACTTTATTGGATCCTGTTACTTGACATGCATGGCAATGTTTTATCAAGTTTTCCACTTCTTGATCTATTCCTGGCCACCATACTTTTTCTCTAAGTAATCCTTTAGTTTTCACAATGCCTAAGTGATGTTGGTGTGCTGTGGCAAGTATTCTTTGTCTTAGATCTGTGGGAATTATTAGCTTTGTGCCTTTTAAAATAATATCATCTTTGATCCAGAGGTCTCTCCGGTTCAGAAAGTATGGTTTGTATTGTGGACTTTTTGACCATTTCTCTGATTTGATCTGTTCTTTGATGTTTTTCAATATTTCATCATTTCTTGATATTTCTTGAATTTCCTCTATTGTGACTGATTTAGGAATAGCATCATAAACAATTGAGTTGATGAAATGTTCTGTATCATCACTTAACTTTTCTCCTGTAGCTGGTAAAGGTGAACGAGATAGTACATCAGATGCATTTGTGTGTCCTGGTTCAAATTGAACAGTGAACTTGTATGGTTGCATTTTTAGTAACCATTTTTGCAATCTTGGTGTAGGGCTTCCTCTTGCTGATAATAGTTTTTCAAGTGGTTTGTGGTCAGTTACTATTGTAAATTCTCTGTCATACAAATAGTAATGAAACTTCTGTGTTGACCAAAATGCGGCTAAGCCTTCTCTTTCTGTCTGAGAATATCTTTGTTCTGTTGGGCTTAATGCATGTGATGCATAAGCAACTGGCTTGAATTGTCCATCTTGTTGTTTTTGAGTAAGGATTGCTCCTAGTCCTACTGGTGAAGCA